AGTAGCCTACTTCTGCTGGGGCCTGCTCCGTTAGGCTAACCCTTTGACTTTGAGTCTGCCCTTGCAGTTTAAAACACATAAACCTATTTCCTAGAACAGAAGCATGTTCGAGGCCGTAGGGGGCAACTTAGGATCGTAGATTTTCTCTGACTTTCTTTTCTTGTTGATCATTGAATGTAGGTAAGGGCCAGTCGACACAGCCCCAATATTCGTCGGTCCAAATCCTGACTTGGGTCGCTCTTTTCAGCCAAAAAAGCTGGATGCGAGCTCCGCTGCTTTTCCAGCCTCAATCAGTTCATCAGCTGTAAAAGCCCCACCAGTTGGTTGTTTTAATTGCTCAGCGGCTGCTCGCACTGCTACTGCCTGGCATGACAGCACTGAAAACTCCAAGACAAATCACTGAGAAAGTATTTCTGTATGCGTTGTGGATTTAGAGAACCAACACTTCATAGCTCGACGTATACACATTTATTGGTAGATCACCCTGCATAAATGTCCAGAACCCTGGTTTTGATCGGATTTGGGCGCATTCCGATGAGTCAGGGCTTGTGTCCAGGCGTGGACGGTAGAAACCCCTGCAGGCAGACAACGTGGTCTGCATTAAAAGCCACCCTTAAAGTGCTTTTCTATTCAATAGACACGCTGCAAGGAGAAGTCGTTTCTCTCCGTCGTGGGGGAACCAAAGTAAGCTACACTTACAACCTGCTGATGATATGTTCGAGTGCCTACCCGTTCTTACAGCCGTCGTATATTTCTGCTTAACCTAACCTTATCAACGTGTCCATAAGCACTTTATCGGCTGACAAATCATGCCCCTTCACCAGTTGTGGAACCCTTGCGTTCACACCAGTTCGTAGGCCAGCCTCTGCCTTCCCATCACCCCTTGTGCAACCAACTACTTCCATCGCCATAGGATTCCATTTTCCCGAGTGCTGCCAAGAAAAATCAGATTAGTGAATTCCTGGCTTTCTTGCTCGAAACCAGGAAACTAATGATTAGAGAGCAAACACCTCATGCATCCACCGCCAAGGGATATGCGGGGAACAGCTGCGCCGAACCATGCAGTACTGCGGAGTGTAGCACTCTCTCTGGTTCCCGGAAGCGACCTTACTCAACTCTCCAATCAGCACAAACTTCATTTTAAATTTTTTGTCTTTTTTCAAAGACCTCCCTTCTTCCTATACTCATGCCCCTCATATTACCGGACATAGGGGGAGAGGGGGGAGCTAGGGTGGACGTTGGTGCATCTTTTTCGGCAATAGGAGCATCCACCGCTACCTGCACATACCAACTACCACAGACACACACACCATTGCTTCTTTTTGTGTCGAGCTAACAATACTCTGCAATACATTAGACATACGAAAAAAAAACTGACTAAGCAACCTTTTCAACAATTCTAATTCGAGTGGAAATAATATAGCATAGGGTGTAAAAGTGCAATTTAAGCCAGCTACAGCGAGCGGAGATAACTAGGCTGAAAAGCGAAAGCATTCTGAATTCGAGTGTGAGCCATCTTATCCAGACAGGCTTTATCAAGGCACTTAAAAGGAGCGGCTGCTTGTGTACACACGTGCCTGTGACTCCCCAGATGCGCAAGCTTCATGCCCGCCGACTGAGAAAACAACAAAGATATAAAGGGCCAGGTAGTGCTTCAATGCAAAGTTTTCTCTCGTCATCATGATTTCATAGTGTCACGGATTAAGGGTAGTAGAGATAGTCGTGAAGCTGTCCATCTGCACCCTTCGAGTTGTCCTCGCATTCGTACGGAAGTTGTTAATCGAAGGCACACATGGCAGGCACCATTGTTCGTGTTGCGGGAGTGAGGCAAACAGCGTGAGATGCATGAGTGCTAAGGCAAACCAACCTAGGACATTTTGATTTTCCTCCAAAGGTACTTTAATCTGATGGCAACAGTCTTGCCTTAACATATTCTACCACGTCCACTCCTATACAGCTGGTTGAGTCATCCCATCCTTTGCTCCGAGTTGTAACTGCTTAGGTGAGAAGATGAATCCTTCCCTCATCTTCCCTGGCCTTTCACGCTAAACACAAATGCCTTCCTCTTTCCTCTAGAGGGGAATGGAAAACGTAGCCACTGGCGACTTTAGGAACGCTCCACAAAGCCACTGCAGGACCAACAATATTGAGTGCTTCCATTGCTGCTGTAGGATCAATGAGTCTACTGGTCCAAGGAATACGGAAAATAATCAACGAAAACTTCCCAGCGAAGGCATAAGTGCACGATTGCTCCATCCATCTATTTTACCGTATAGTATGATTCAGGGAGCCTCTGCACTGAGAATGGCAAGTACAAGGATTTGATTACGTAGCTATTAAAATAACCTTGCAAATGATTCTAGCGCACATCATGCTAGAACGATGATTAAATATTTATAACTAGTTTGGAGAGGTTTGAAAGACAACCTAGCTCCATGAAACCTTATTTATAAAGAACCCATAGAATTACAACAGCTACGAATTTCTGTGCTGTGGATAGAATCCCAAGACCTCAAAAGGCTGCAGGACTCTCCCAAAAAAACATAAGACCAATGGTCCTGCGACATCCCAGAGGCTAATGCTTTTCTACTCAATTGAACAGAACATATTTTCTGCTGTCCTTTATGCGTGGAAGCCCTTATTCTCAACACAGCAGTGGCTTGTAGTGGGGTACCACGTGACGGAGTCAGCGACAAGTTTTGGCATTCTGTGGCTTTGTACGACAACAATATCGATAGCTTTGTGCAAACTCCGCAATTTGAGGACAGTGATAATATGGAAAGAACATGGCTTACCGAAACCAGGATAGTCTAATGTATTGAGCCAACAACACGTGAACGTGCTTCCTTGTTATTAAGTGTATCGGTAAAAAAACTCATTGCATTAGAATCAGAATAGCAGGCGCCAAGTCTGCAGCCAATTCCTACGTGTCCTATTTCACAGCTTCTGTCCCTGCGTTTTCCAAATGTATTCTGTTGTAGCACGGAGTTTCCCACTTAATCTCTTTCTTCAAGGCAATTATGAAAGCAGCACAGCCAGGCCCAGGCACCAACAAGAGATGCTGCGCATTGCGGATTACTCTTGCACGGAAGTACTCTCTAGAAGTGAGTACCATCTTATGAACCCAGTCAGCACAGGAAAGGATGTTGAACCAAAACATTTCCATTCTGGGGACCGAGATAACTAAGTTCCATTTGTGCGCAAATGCCTACTTTTATGTGCCAGAAGTCAGCATGAGAAGAGCTTCTGCCTTGACGTAACTTGCTAGCTGAGGAACTTTGATCCGCGGAGAATATTGTTTTACATTCCAACTAGAAGAGAAAATGCATGAAGATAGGAAGAGTGGCCTGTGCACTGACCTGACACGATGCATGCGACTGTAAATACTCAGTTGGCAGTTGTGCTTGGTAGACCCCGGCTACCCGTTAGTTATGGTATTGCGGACTTAGGTACTCGAGGGAAACAGCACTATTCCGTGACACAAAGGAACTCTTTTAACCATTCAAATTGTCACACAACTCGTAAAATATCTAAGGCCTTGTATGAAGCGTCCCAGCTAACGTCTTGAATACGATTAAGCACAACCAATCAGCCTCCGTTCTTTCAAATTGAGCAGCCGCAGCACCTAAAGCAGATTCAGCCACAGTGCTTTGGCCCACAGCTCGTAAATAGAGCAAGGCAAGCAAATTCTTCCGGCCACACAGGTTTTCCATAAAAGGCCATGTTCATCAGGATTAACATGTCTACCTCCTCCTTCTCGAGTAGACCCCGTTTGTTGCCCCTTCAGATCAAGGTGTGGTGCACAGCTTTGCTGTCCGTAATCTAAGGTTTGCACATCCTATATCCCTTCATTCCTAATGTCGTGTAATGCTGCCAAGGGTATTTGACATTCTCGCGTGCTGGGCTTGAGCCGGCTTGAAACACTGACGACTGATCCCACCGACTTCACACACGAGGGCGAAGACGCCACTACAATCCACTGGAGCATTGTTTTTTCGGGTGCAGCAATCTAATACATACCGTCTCTCGGTTCCACGGTAACTCGTGCAGTGGACAGTCGGAGAAATAAAGAGTTGAGCAGAGAAACAGCCCATGAGCGCGAGGACGAAATGCCGTGGATATACAGTACATTTCAATAGTCGCGTGACGCAGGGCACTATCTAGTCTTGCCTGTTGAGGATCTGGAAAACAAGTATGCATGGCACTACTACTGCTGCTTGAGCAGAAAGGGCAAACATGCGCAGGAGCTAGAGAAAATTCTGGGAGTTCGGCCTCGTAGATTTGAAATGATTGAATACCTACTATTGGGTGCGTTCCCTACGCGGAGCTACGTACTGCTCGGGGTACACGATGGAAGCTCCCCCCAATGCATGAGTCAATGGGTAGAAATCAGTTTGCTTGTGGGAGATACGGGGTACATGTGTAAACAAAATAAATCTGCCTTCCTTGTTCTCTCGGAGGCACAAGACAAAGGAACGCAAAGCTCTACAAGGCAGCCCACGCCAAACCCATTCACACACCATCCCACCGCCTCAAGAACAAACAGGGTTTTTCGGCTAAGCGAAACTTCGCTTTTCGCCCATATTCCTTGCAGAGCACCTATACGCTATTTCGTCAGGCAAGTGCTTGTTCGTGCTTTTAAGCCGTTCCCGGATCATTATGGTCCAAGGCCAACAGATTGCCTCCCCAGAATACTCGACTTCCAGCTACATTATGCGAAAAGAACTGTAGCAGAATGAGCCACATCGATTAACTATAGAGACCCTGGGCAGTTCAGCCCATAAGCGACCTTGTTGAGCAACTGGAAACTAAAAAGTATGCCGGGAATCCCTGTCCCCTGTGGAGAAACCCACGCAGCGGTGCACTGTATTGAGACACAGAAAACCCAAGGAAAGGACGGTCTTGAAGACTACGATGCTCGGGAGACACGCATCTCCTGTCCTGAATGACCCAAACCACCCCATACTAAAAGAAATTAAACCGCCAGCTCTGCTGTCAGCTCAATCACGGTCGCTAGAACGCCCACGCCGACGGTCACGATCCCTCTCCCGGCCTGAGCCAACACGAGGCAAAGCAACACAATGCAAATACCTTAACGCCCTATGCAAGCATGATACCTATCCCACAGAAGGTATGAATAAAAGGAGATGACTAGGTGGACATACTATAATCCTTTACTTCTTTTACCTCGGCTTGGCGAGCGGGACCGTGAATGCGATACACTACGAGAATCGCCTCGCCGCCTGCCCCTGCGCCTCTCGTATCTATCCCCGCGAGCCCGGCGGCTTCTGCCGGCAGACCGGCTACGACTTCGGCTGTTACTCCGGCTGCGTTCATGGGAGCCTGATACGATGCAAACAAAACAACAAGATTCTCTATGTAGCATAATTTCTGATACGCCCCGGTAGGCTTCCAGACACTTACTGGAGCAAGGAGACTTTACATCGAGTTTGTGCAAAAAAAAAGTGTCTGCGCGGTTCATTGCAAACAGCATATGTATTGTGCGTTTTGAGTTCTGAATTCCTGGGGGCCAAGGTAAATGAAACTATTGGCACTCGCCATCTGCTTACCTGCGCGAATACGAGTTGCAGGTGCATCATCGTTATCCCAGCCCCTCATACCGCCCCCAGTGTCCGGAATCGTGTCGTCTGAGAACAATACGCAGAGGCGCACGCGCAAAAGTACGAAGCCTATGCACCTGCTATCGGATGTGCGATTCTGCGGCAGTGAAGCAGAGAGGGGATGTAATGTGCACCAATACCGATACAAACGATTTGAACAAAGGAAAAAAACCCACAGGCTATGAGTGTCGGTGGTTTTGGGGGAGCTGTCCCCGTGGCGAACTGTTTGATTTGCTTGTTGAACTCCGATGCCATCATTTGCTCATGCCTACGCACCAGCTCTTCATTAATGCGTGCAGCCTGTAAGACAGCGCAGCAACACTTTTGTGCAATGCATGTGGGGTATCGCCGCACTTGTAATATTCTTGGCATCCCAAAACGTTACAAGTCTCTTAACTATCACAAACCAAATGACTGTGTGCAATACAGTATCCAACTTGAAGCCGCAATGCTAGGCGGCCGCATAAACATGATACGGATGCTCCCCACCTCCTCTCTTTTCCTTTCCATTTCCAGCCTTCTGTTCTCTAGGAACTCCGGTGGAATTCCCGTGGGCGTGTCCTGCACATCCATTCACAGTACTCGTCATAACAGATTCAGACCCCCTTCATTTCGGGCACTGAGCATGCCAAGAAATGCTCAGATATCCAGTTTCCAACGTCCAAATATACAGCACAAACGTGTTAGTACAGAGAGTCAGGCATGAGGTCCACGGGGGCATCCAACAGCGTCTGCACCCGTAACAGTTTGTTGCACAGGTAATAACCACCCTTGAGTATAAAAACGAAATGTGTATGCGAAAGCTTCTGTGCTCACTTGGGCGCTTAAAAGCAGCTTCCACAGTTCGCGGACAAAATTCGTTGCCTGCTTACCAACGAACCCCGTGAGGGATATCGCTAGTTTTTTCGGGCACAGGTAATTTTTTCCTGAAGGTAGATGCCTTACACAATGTCGAAAATTTGCGAAGAAGTTCTCTGACTATTGTGAAGGTAGTGTACAACAGGCAGCTGTTTTACTATGCAAATGACATTGTCCTAGTTTTTGAATTAAGCCTAAAAAGGGTGGACAGCTGCACTTGTTATGTGCTATTATACGCTCCAGATATTGAGGTGTTCCTCACGCTCGTCAACGTCTGCAGCTAAAGCCTCTTCCGGCACCAGCTGAGAGAGACAATAAGAAATGACAATGTCATCTTCGAAACCTGAACAGGAAGACAGACACACTCAATCGGCTGTAGGTGTGGTGCTGATAACTACGAGGGAAGAATTGATTGACATACTTAGACATATGAGTCTGGCATTACATGCTGGTTAGTACGAAATGCCTGAGAATAAGTTCGTATTCGGCAGCTCACCAAGCAATTCAGTGATTTTGTGGTTTATCCACGCCTTCATGACTTCGACGTTCACTTTCGTCATGTCCACCTCTTGCTCGAAAATAGCCGGCCACTGGAAGATATCATGCGACACCACACAAACATCGTCCTAAATCTCGTAAATTAAGATGGTGCACGCATCGTTCGCTACAGACGATGCCACCTTCAAAGTACAGCTTACTACCGTGTAGCCTCCGTACCTCACATGTGCACGGCTGAGTAAATTAATGAGCGTGCGCACTTACTTTTCTCTGTGCAATAAGCTGTGTGTCCTTATCTTTGAAAAATGGAGTTTGCTCCTTGGAGGTCCCCTTGTAGAAGTTCCCTGCCATTTCCTTTACAGAGACAAAACTCCGGATCAGACGCGATGTCACCGTAACTGAAAAGGCCCCGCTGAGCCTGATCTCCACTTGAGAGATAATCCACTGTGTCTTGAAACCGTTCTGTTTGAGTATTGATAAAGGGCCGACGAGTTTGGGTACCAGTTTCCGCGGGAAGCCTCCCGTTGCTCTCCCAAAATGTAATGCCTGCTCAACAACCAGCGTGCAACGAAATTTGAAGCTTCTGCGATAGAAACAAGACCGTAGGCAAGGATACGCGGAAGCAGTGGATGACGTGAGAGTTTCAATGCTGATGCGGTGGCCATTCCAAGGTGTGATAGTCCCTGCAGTTTCCAAAAGTGTGAGAAGTGCCACGCGCGCACTAAAAGCCAATTAATACTTCGTACTCCTCTCCTCTGGAATACAAATTTCGTTTTTGTCCTAAAAACCTGGCATATATCATAGTAGGGGCAGCGGCAAACCGATGCCAATTGCAAGGGCCGGCCACCCACAGTGCCGAGCTTGAGTGATCTAAGGAAGCAGGAATGAAAGGGCAATCACTCGACCTGCAAGAAAAGATCCAATAAGGTACGAATGCCTATAGGAAACTCGTTTAACGGAACGTATTTACGGCAACGTCGAATATATCACCTCCCATTCCGCGCATGCACTCAGAGTCGAAGCCAGGGCCCCACGGTCGGTGAGCTTTAATAGAGTGAAGCCATCATGTGGAACTAATGCTATAGAAGAGCCAAAAGTCGATTCCCATGATTGAAATACCCTTAGGCTTAATCAAGTAGGCATAAAATATCCTCCTGCTCAGAGCAAAGGCCTCATTGTAGATACTTTTGTTGTTGTTCATTGCATAACAACCCCCCTGGTATCCAAGGCAACATATACCTGTACTCCTGATACTCTGCTAATAATACTTAGCTGACTCAATGCTAGGCATCCACGCTCCTATTTAGCTGCTTACCTTTTGACTTTGTGACAGATTGGGTGCTGCTTCATCCCCAGCGCGTACATGCTCACATAGATATGGACTACTTCCTTAGAAACAGTCGCCTTTTCCTTCCTACAGCCCTCGAAGTCCCCCACCTGACAAAAATCGCGCAGCTCAGACGTACGTATCTGGGCTGTTCAAGTACTTTGAGTACTTACTGTCAGTTGTACACAGTTATCGCCGCACACGAACAAAACAGAGTCTCTTCTTGCATGGAGCCCAAAGTACTCTGCACTAAATGGTATATACAAACACACGAACCAATACTCAATTCTTTACTAACCCATAGGTAAATTTATCCTGCATAGTAAAAAGAGAAACGTGTAGCTTAAACCCCTCCATCTTCCTCCCCAATTTCAAACCACATGT